TAAGACCACAGTCTGCACACGCGGGTTTATTTGTGTTCTTTTCTCAAAGCTCTAAGCTATTGGAAGGCATTACTCATAACTTAATTTGGTGAAAATCTAGCTGGATACACAAAGTTGAGTTAAATATACCAAGGAGTTGTATCCGCCTCTCTCACCCCCTAATTGTTTTTTTTTTTAATTTTTATTGTTTTATTGTTCATATGTGCATACAATGCTTGGGTCATTTCTCCCCCCTTCCCCCACCCCCTCCCTTACCACCCACTCCGCCCCCTTCCTCTCCCCCCCCTCAATACCCAGCAGAAACTATTTTGCCCTTATTTCTAATTTTGTTGTAGAGAGAGTATAAGCAATAATAGGAAGGAACAAGGGTTTTTGCTGGTTGAGATAAGGATAGCTATACAGGGCATTGACTCGCATTGATTTCCTGTGCGTGTGTGTTACCTTCTAGGTTAATTCTTTTTGATCTAACCTTTTCTCTAGTTCCTGGTCCCCTTCTCCTATTGCCCTCAGTTGCTTTTAAGGTATCTGCTTTAGTTTCTCTGTGTTGAGGACAACAAATGCTATCTAGTTTTTTAGGTGTCTTACCTATCCTCACCCCTCCTCTTGTATGCTCTTGCTTTTATCTTGTGATCAAAGTCCAATCCCCTTGTTGTGTTTGCCCTTGATCTAATGTCTCACCCCCTAATTGTTAAAGAGGCGGGGTGCAGAACCTGTGGAATCTGAAAAGGAAGTGTTCAGAAAAACGCTGGGAGGTTCACCAATGTGCAGCCAGCCAACTTGACTTCGCGAAGCATTGCTGCAGCCTGCTGACTGCAATTGTTTATCTGAACTTAATAGGACTCCACATCCCAAAGCTGGAGCAAGCTGATTTCTTTGGGGGAAAGAGGCAATGTCTCCATACAGCAGCCTCTGTGTGTGGGGGTGGGGGGGAGCTTATTTATTGCAGGTATGAAAGCAACCAATTTGTCCCTGTGGACACTCAACCCTGCATCTCCAGTCCTGCCCTGCGTGTTCTACCCCCATGAACAAAGAACTGTCATTCCAGTTCAGCTCTGAGCAGCTCACCTTCCCCACATCTGCAACGGCGAATGACTGAACTGAAGCAAAGCCTGGTATTCGAGGTGCTCACTTTTGACATGACAGCTCCCATCCTCAATGTCACACATGCCAGGGAAATGAACATGTATGAATTGCAAGTCTGTCTTTAACAGCCCAGAGAACAGAAGAGGGCTGACGTGCTCAGCAGCGGGGCTTGCTTTAGGAGATCCACATTCTTTCTGATTGGTGCTCTCATTCATGAGGCAGAAAGCACAGAGCTGTCTGCTGCAGGATATGGAAAGGGCAGGGGTTTGAACAGTTTGAAGGCACTGCCACCAGCCAACCCTTTGGAGCCTTGTGGAAGATCCTCAGGATATCTTGCCCAGGGCCAACCTTTAGGAAGGGCTGGAAGAAGCCAGTTTCAGAGGACTAAGCAGTAGTAGGGCTGGGCATGCATTTTTTTTTCAATACTGGGATTTGAACTCAGGGCCTCACACTTGTTCAGCTAAGCAGGTGCTCTACCACTTGAGCCACTCTGCCAGCCCTGTTTTGTGAATTGCCATCCTCCTGATCTCTGCTTCCTGAATAGCTAGCATTACAGGCGTGAGCCACCGGTACCCGGCACACAAGGCAGTTCTTGGAGATGCTAACACAGGTTTCTCTCACGCTGAAGGAGAGACTGAGCAATGTGTGTCTTTGGGGTGTTCAGGGGCCACAGTCCCTACTGAGTGGCATGGCTTTCTCTGGCTTTGCAAGTAAAATGTCCCCAGAGTCGAATGTACTAAAAGTTTGGTCCCCAGCATGTGAGCTACTAGATAGTGGGACCTTGAGGAGGAGGGGCCTGGGGGAGGAAGTTAGGTCACTGGGGCTGTGTCCTTGAAGGAGATATGGAGACCCATTCCGTTCTCTGTTTGCTGGCTGCATTGAGGTGAGCGGCTCTGCTCCACCACAAGCTCCCACCATGATGTGCTGCCTCACCACAGGCCCAAAAGCAACAGAGCTGGATGACCATGGATGGAAACCTCTGAATCAAGTAAACCCTTCCTCTTCAAGTTGATTAGCACAGGCATTTTGTCACAGCGATGGAAAGCTCAGCACCTTACCCATGAGTGCAGGGTAAACATCCTCATCTGGCAGAGCTCAGTATTACCTCTGTAAGGAAGGGAGGAGCGCTACTGTCTTCAGTATAGCAAAGTGACGGCAGAGACATAAATGCCCGTGTCACACTATACCCTGGGTCATGGTGGATGTCAGGCAAGGTCCCTCCATGGCTGCAGGTCCCTCGATGGGCAAAACAGACCCTGCAGGGAGCAGCTCAAGAGTGCACATCACAGGGGAGCCATTTGTGCTGCTTCTGTCCTGTCTAATCGTCATACCAGCTGGTGAAGTTCTTCTATCTTCTAAATGAGCAACAGCATCTCAGGGGGTCACCTGTCCTGGAGCTGAGGCCTATCTGCCTGACTACAAAGCTAGTGGTTTGTCCTCTGCTCCAGGCAGCCCGATTCCCAGAACTGTGCAAGGTGACATCCACTGCATTGTATGACGAAGCTGCCTTTCCCAACAGAACTCAGGGGCTCCACCTGAAATTCAGTTAGGTTAAAATTGCTGCCTGGGGCAGAGACACCCAGGAGGGGCATCTGTGACATGATGTCCCTGAATTTGGGAGGAGAGTGGGAAGAAGAAGAGTTAACTGAGACAGGCAATCTCACCTTGGTGCCTTTTGATGTATTTGTTGAAGTCAGCTTGTCTCATCTACCGCCGTACAGAAGAAACCGGTACTCCATCACCCACTGCCCTTGAAAAGGTGGCTTAGACTTTGGTCTAAATGAATCAGGCCTGCCGTTTTTCAAGTGACTGATTCCAGTTGAGAATTGAAAATGTATCATTTTTCAAAACAGATCACTGTGGCGTTGACCTAAAAAGGCCTGAGTAAAGCCAGCATGTTGCCTGGCCTCACGGGGCCAGGGCTCATTCCTCTGTCACATGGGCATTGGGGCATGGTGTCCCATGAGATGCTGCTGTGGCTGCTTTGTTCAGGCTTATTTGTTCTGTGTAGAAGTAGAAGAAGAAATATTTCATAAAATTAGTCATTCACTACTGCAAATACATTGCAAATGTTGTGAATGGAATTCATCTCCGCCAAACTAGAGAAGCACTTCAAACCTATAATTAAAAGCAGACATTTAAATTTTCATAAATTATTTATTTTAGCTAGTTATTTGCCACTGAGCCCTACACCCTCAGCCCTCAGAATTTTTTTTTTTTAAAAAGATTGGCCAGTGGTTAAGCATACCATTGATTTTGTTCCAATTTTAGCAGATGTGTTGCCAAAGTGACAGTTACCAGTGATTTGGGGACAACGGATCCCTGTATGTCTCATTCTCCTTGCCCTGTTCTCTTGTGAAGATATGTAGAGATATATGTAATTATTAACTTTGAGTATTTTGTAATTCACATGGGTTTATTACTCTGGTGGATGTTGTAGGAGGCATCAAGAAACAGGAGCTGGTCCCTTCCTAAGTCGGAGGACATACAGGTGACTCCTCAAAGCATGGGTGGAATGAGGGTGCCTGAGAAGTCAGCTCCTTCCCCACCCACGTTCTCCTCCATCGGAAAAGTGCACTGCTGTGGGAGGCAGGAGGTGGTGTTGTGTGAACCCCGTGTCTAGTGGTGTAGCTCAACAAAGGTCTACAGCTTCAAGTCCAAGCCTGAGCATCGCAAACTGTAAGGAAACCCATTTTCTTCCCAAGCCTCCATTTTATGTCCTATAAAATGAGAATAAAACCTGTCTGCCTAGCAGTAAACTAAAGATATTTTTTTATGATCCAAGAAAAGAAAAGATTTCAGAGATGCAGGCTTTATTTATTTATTTAACACTCAGCAGACACTACTTCCAACACGGCCCTTTCAGGTGAACAGCTTGGCACGTGTTCCTCTGCCTCCTTCCAATTCCAAGATTGAGCACTGATGCCCGAGAGCGCAGAAATCAAACTGCTGTGGCGCTACCTGTCCAGGGGGGCTAAGGCTTTGCCATCTGCAGTGACCTCGCCCTCAGCGCATGTTGCTAAAAATGACTGACGTCCATCGGGAGGCACAGGCGGGCAGATCCTGCCCCTGGGTCCAAACAAAGTAACATAGGTTGGGCTACACAAAGTGTCGCGGGACACTGGGGCTGTTTGTTGGCTCTCAGAACAGCTATCGCCTAGAAATGAACTGTGAAGCTTTCGGAAATAACTCCCTCCAAAGGCTGGGGAACATGCCAACTAAACTTTTCTAAATGAAATGTTGACCGGCAAGTCCTCCTGACTTCCAAAGGCTCAGCAGTCTTCGCAGGTAACTGTGGTACGGCACTGCCCCCTGGTGGTTCGCATGAGCCACGGCACAGGGAGCCCAGCACCGGGAAATGGATGAGTGTGCCAGGAGCTATTAATAAAGACACTAAGCTCTGACAACAGCCTTTTCCATGGAGAGCCTGAGTCTTCTTCAAATGGCCCCATACATCTTTAAAGAAAACATAGCCAGGTGCCAGTGGCTCACGCCTGTAATCCTAGCTACTCTGCAGGCAGAGATCAGGAGGATAGAAGTTCAAAACTTGCCAGAGCAAATAGTTCTGCCAGACCCTATCTCAAAAAAAAAAAAATCACAAAAAAGGGCTGGTGGAGTGGCTCAAGCCCCAGTACTGCAAAAAAAAAAAAAAAAAAAAAAAAAAAAAGAGAGAGAAAGAAAAAATGACCTCAGCATTTACGGAGAGACCCCAGCAGACTTTTCCTACCCTCTCAATTCTTAGTGCCAGGAATACTGATGAATGTGATTCTTAAAAACCAAACACAAAAGACACTGGATTATGCAAAAACATTTTACTTCACAGTACCATCTTTAAAAAAAAAAAAAAAAAAAAGGCAGAAACATTTTGGGTCCCCACACTCCTGGGCTGGAGTTCCAGAAGGACCTTGGGAATCCGTCTCCAGGCTTCCCTTTCAGATAGTCTTTCTCATGGCTGCTTGTGTCATGCTGAAGAGATAGGCTTCGTAGATTATATTTAAGAAGTTGTCATCATTCTGGAAAACAAAATCAAAAGGCCCAAGGCACCATAACTTGGGTGGCAGAAAGCAAGTTTTCCTCTCTCGGAGCTGAATGGGCCCTGGATGCTAAGACGCTCACCTCGGCTTGCTTGTGCTGCAGCTGCGGGGTTTCCTGCATACATGGATGTGAAGGGGGCCTGGAGGAAGAGCTGCTGGCTTTTGACAGTCAGTATGTGGAGTGGCAAGTGCTCACGACACACAGCACAGCTGGGCAGCCCAGCCATGTGACGACATGTAACAAGGTTTGCTCATGAAAAGCAGGATCTGCCAGTGAAGACCCAGGTCCTTAACACCAAGCTGGGTGGGGAGGAGATGATCTAGGTCACAAAGCTTGATTAGGACCATGCTGGTAGTTCTTAAAAGTCCAGCCCACCATGTGTACGTGCTGTCTTGGGCATTAATTAGGACTGTACCCACAACATGCTTCATTGCTACCTTATCAAAGCCATCATAATTCTTCCCATGAGCTGTGGAAAGTTTCTGGCCTTGACAAGTGGGCAGCTGACTGGGAGGTTCTACTAAGGGCTGAGAGAGAACCCAGGTCTAATCAGGGGTTTTCTTGTCTCTGAATGCAAAAGGCTTCTTTCTTCCTCCCACTCAAAGCCTTTGAAGCTTTAGCAGTTCACCTGCACTTCACATCTTCCCTTCATTCTTTGTGCCACACAAACACAGTTAGAATCATTGTCATGCAATGAGGAGAAAGATGTTATCCCTTCCTCCTACAAAGTGACCACAAAGTCCCTCTGCATGACACTGTGTGCTAACAAAGGGGACTACAGACAGCCCAGTGGCTTCTAGCAGAGAGGCAGGAAGAGCCATCCAGGCCACATGGAGAAGCAAAGAATGAAGGGAATGAGTTTCTAAGTAGCAAGGTGTAGTGTCCTGGGACAATGTAATCTGAACGGTACAAGCCAGGAAAAGCACAGGTCTTTAAGAATCAAACTTAAAACGGGCTGTTTTCTTCATTGTTCACAGGTGACTTTTCTAAATTCTCATGAATTTATCATGAATAGCTTAACTGGGTGGGAAAAACTTTAATCCTGATAAATTAAAAAAAGTAAAACAATTTACTTCTGGTACTACCTATTTCTAGATCTGTTATCTTTTAAAAAATGTTTTACAAATAGATTGAGGCTAGCTTGCTCTCTCACAGCCTGCTCCATAGGCCACCTGAGCTTAAAGGCCAACAGCCTCCCAACTCTCCTAACTAAGGGCTCTAAGTCTGGCACTTTCCAAGGCCTGTCACCTATGGTGGGCTGTGCCTAGCTCAGTGGACAGTCCCTGTAATACTCATGTTATTAACATGACTCCCAGGTCTATGGCAGGAGCCAGGAGCACTCTGGAGCCAGGGAGGGTGGGATCCCACCTCTGCTATTTACTGATTGTGTAACCTCAGGTCAGTCACTTGGCTTCAGCGTCCTGTCATAAAACAGGAGAGATTTAATAGAGGTTTGTGTGAGGATTGAAAATAGTGCTCAGCTCAAAGCTCTAAGTGCCAGCTATCATTGGCATTACTTTTATTTCACAGAGATGAGGGAGGCAAGGGGCTGACAAGGAGGATTGTCATTCCATCCTGCCCTAATTAGCTGGTTTCAAACCCACTTGTAACCCTGCCTATAGCCCTCATGCCTGGCACTCGCCTTCTTGCCTGCTTCCTCTCTGTTTCGCCATCTGCAGAGCTCAGGACTATGGCTCACCCAAGTGGCCCTCACGACCATTTCCCAATGGTGGGTGCTCTCTATTTGGGTACCCTGTGGCAGAGTGCCCTCAGTGACAGCCCTGTCATCAGTGCATGCTTCCTTCTTTCCTGACAGGTGACAGCTGGGAGGCCTTAGTCAGTCCTCCCAATTACAAATCCCTTGAAGGGTTCAGACACCCAAAGCCATAATTAGCATTCTAAATATTGTCTGGTTGGCTGAGTTCAGAGCCAGAGCCATGGGGATAGGGTGTAGGGTGAGCTGTTGTGCTCCTGGAGTACTAGGCAGACAGTGGCCAGCTGAGCCTGTATCTCACAGTCATCACAGTAGGTGGAGGGTTGGTAAGGTGAGAAGAGAGGTAGGGCTGCCTTCCTACCTGGACAAGGTACAGCAGTGCTTCCTGGAGCTGCAGCCTGGTGAGTGGGCTGCAGGTGATGGCAGAGGGCTCCGGGTTCTTCAAGGGTAGGAGGAGGCCAGGGGAGGCAGCTCGTGGTTCCTGGCCTCCCAGAGGCAAAAGGCCACTTTCTTTTTCCCTCTGCGCGGCACAGGAGGATTGTGTGAACACCATGGGGGACATGAGCAGAGAAGGAGCCACTGTAGCTGGGATGCACTGTGGCGAGATGACCTGCTCACAGCAAAGGCAGACACAGAAGGCAGGATTAAGGAGTGACCCACTAAAAGCAGAGACACAGAGATTAAGAGGCCTCTTGCTCAAAGGGCTCACAGCTCACAGGGAAGGTAAGTGTTAACTATGCCCTGGTTCCCTAGGTGGGAAGGGCTCACAGGACAACTGATTCCTGCTCCACTCTCTGTGTATTCTGAGTATTCTCCTTGGTGGCTACTAAGCACCTGGAATAGTCAGCTCTGCTGACTGCTGCAGCCACTGCATATACAACTTGACCTCCGGGTGAGATTTTTTTCATTATTTTGCAACATGCATTTAGGACTGCTGGTCTTACCCAGGATAGCTGGCCACCACTCTAACCTGAGGTCCAACCACCCATGTGAGTGACTGCATGTGCTGCCCTGGCTCTCCCAGAAGAGGGACCTTGGGAGAGCAGGCCTGCTGCCCTCTGCTGCCACTAGGAGGGGCCGTGATTTCTGGGGTTCACCCCTCTGGTCCTTCCCTGGGTGACCTGCCTGCTTTTCCAGGCTGGCATGGTGGGGCAGGCCGGGGCTGCCTGGCACTCTGTGCTGCTGTGACCTGTTTGGTGAGTCTGTCTCACTCATTTGGATGACAGACCTCAAACCAAGTTTTTCTGTGGCTTTTCCAGTTATGCAATGACATTCTGATCCCCAACTGACTGACTCCTACGGCTATCATGTGTTTCTAACTCAGGTAAGAAGGAATGTTACTTCTCAGCCTCCGAATACTCCAAGGAACTCGTGAGTAGGGGAGAGAAGCCCATAATTTACAAGCTGCAGTAATTTTAGCGTCAGTCCCTTGGCATCTCTCGGGGCAGGAGTTGGCCTAGAGGAAGGCAGGCTGTTTGTTTCTCTAACTTTCCCTGTTGGATGTGAGGAGAGGCCCAGAGCACTGCCGCTCCTCAGAGAGGAGATGCAGTGCTAACAAGAGCACAGCGTGGGCTGACAGAATGTACACTTTCCTTACTTGGCTCTTGACATTTGTGAGTACTGCAAAAAAAATTATGTATGCAGAAATTTAAGTTAGACTATTAACCTGATTTTCTCATTCTAAGTTATCAAAGAGGGAAAAAAAACCCAGACATTTTAAAAAATGGGGACAACACTACATGGAAATGAAGGAGAGGGTATATTATACACATTATCTCCACAGGAGAAGCACTCAGATGTAGGATTTTAATACATAAGAAATGAGAACACCTTGACTCAGGGTCTGTCACACAGACTTTGGCACATGTCGATGGACTTTGTTTTTAAAAAGTGAAACATTCCCGAGGAGCTATTAGGAGCTACACGGCAAGAGGTCACATGTAACTCGTGGGGAGAACACTAGGATCTTTAACCCAGCGCATTTTCAGTGAATCTGAAGGAAAACGATCCCACCAGACCTCCAGATGTCACCAGAGGCAGATGGCCAACAGCCTGTGGTCTTCTCTGTTCCCAGGCACTGGTGGGTAGAGAACCATCTTCTCAGCAGGACACATGCTTCTAGAAATTGCTTTTCCCCTTTGCAGTCTGTGCATGGAGGGCGGAGATGGGTGCACATCTATCGCTCCCTGATCTCCCTGTGCTGATGATCTAGAGGTCAATGAACAGGCTGTACCATTAATGTGCTTTTTCTGTTAAGTCCAAGAACTTACAGGATTGCGGGCTCTGTAGAAGTAGGGAGTTGTTTTCTCCATCACTGTGCAGCATAATGCTACACAATGTGGGAAGTGCTCAGCATCCATTAGGTCATTTAAGTATTCATTAAATCAATGAGAGAGCAATAACTAGCCATGGAGTAAAAAACAAGAAGTCAGATGTTTGGGTTACAGAATGATCTTAGAGCAGACCACTGAAGTTTCCATAGTCAAAGACTAGGGTTTTGTTCCATGTCTGTGCTGGTCTTCAGCCCTTACAACATTTTGAGGATTTAACTCTACAAACTCTCCCTAAAAGGAGGGTGGTGGTCCCCAACTGTTGAGCAGGCTCTCCCCACCAGGGAAGAGAGGTGAGACAAGAGGTATGGAGACACAGAGAGGGGTCCCTGGCCCTTTCTAAGTAGAAGTGTGTGTGACACAAGGTCCCTATAGCATAGACGTGGACAGTAAATGGTGCTACATTACAGTAATATGTTTTTCCCCAGTTTACCTGCAGAAGAGGAGCCTGCTTCTCCATGCTGGATGCCTTGCTGATCCAGGCCTCCAAGGGCTTCCCTGTCCTGGAGCTCTGGGCTACCACAGGGAACTTGGCTGCCAAGGCCGGCCGGTGGGCCACCTGCAGTTGCTGCTCCTGCTGCACAGCCTGGAGCTTTCTCAGCAGCTCCTGAGGGGGGAGCGCCCCAGGGTTGCTTGCCTGACCACCAGGAAGGGGCAGCGCTGGGCTCCCCAGTGGGCACTGCTCCTTCCCGGGAGCCTGATGTCCTCGTGGAGGTGGGAAGGGGCCATTGAAATACCCCAGCTGTGGAGCTGTGGGGATGGCAGCAGAGAGGGCAGCTGGGCTGGCAGGGGTTGGTGCAGTAGCATTGTACTTGTTCACTGCCCCTGGGCTACTCTGGAGCTTCTCTAGTAGGTTCTGGGTTCTGGAAGCACTTTGTGTACCATGGGAAGTCCTGATGTTCTGCGGAGACCCAGGCTGGATAGGTCCAGAGAGAACTGCCCCCATAGGGTGGGTGCCATCGGCTTCGCAGGGCCGCTGCTCAGGCAGCTCTGACAGTGGGTGCAGGTCTGTGCTCCTGACCATGAGTTTCTGAATGGCTGGGCAGAGCTGCTTCTCCACAGGGGGTGAGGGCATTCTGGGCTCCTCATAGGAAAGGGAGCGCACAACTCCCTGCCGAACAGGAAGCTTCTCCTGCTGCTGCCGCTGCTGCTGGGGGATCAGTGGGGGCTCCATGGTCCCCTGACAAGGCATTTTGTCATGCTTTCCAAACAGAGCTGTCAAGGATAAGTGTCGGGACTCATGGTCTAAAGTCTGGAAAAAACAGATATTATAAATAGGTCCACATACAATTTGGTTACAGGGAGCTACAAAACATAACTTACCTGATGACTTAAAGGATCAATTAGAGAAGATGAAAAAATTATGAACTTGAAAACTGTATGACCTTTTTAATGCCAAGTATTTTCACAACATTCTCTCCTCCCACCCCAAGACAGTTGTTATAGTTCAGTATCTATTGATTGACAATAGATTGATTGATCATAGGCATATGATCCTAGAGGGGCCTGGGGTTCACAGATGGGCACCACTACAATGGTCACTACAAGGTAAACTATCTCTACAACAAGAAGTCCATCTGAGACTGCAGAGTACAAGAGGTATTGGGAAAACACGGGGAAAGGAGGATTTCAGATGCTTGGTAGCTTTTCACAGAGCTGGAAAGAAACATGTCATTTAATCTAACTTGGTCTTTTCGCCTATATACCAGTGGCTATAAAAAAAAAGTCATCAGAAGGGCCAGGTGTGGTGGTTCACACCTATAATCCCAGCTACATGGGAGGCTTGTAGGTACAAGGATCCTGGTCCTTGGCTGACCCCACACAAAAAGCACAAGACTGTATCTGAAAGATAATTAAAGCAAAAAGGGCTGGGGGCATGGTTCAAGTGGTAGAGTGCTCATCTAGCAAGTGGGAGGCCCTGAGTTCAAACTTCATACCAACAGCCAAAAAAAAACTCAGGTTTTTTTTGTTCCATGCTGGTTTCTCTATTAAAATATATTAAAAATTCCCATGGAAGGCAATAAAAAGAAAGCTAAAAGAACTCAGAAGACTTCTTTGTTGAAAAAGTCAATATCAACTTCAAGTAGCTAGTCTTATGTCTCTGGCCTCCACGTTCATTTTCAGAGCAGATTTAAACTGATTCCATGAGAAGCCCTTTAATTAGGACTGTCATGAAGTGACAGACACAACACAAATGGGACTTGAGTATGTGCTTGCGAGCAAGCCTCATGACCACTGTGCTGTTCTGAACCATGTAGAGGACATACTGTCCACACACACCTGTACAAAAGCTGCTGTAGCCTCTTGTCCTCAGATCTGCAGGGTATTACACCACTCCTCCCCACACTCACCAAAGCTGTGGCCATGCCAAATGCCCAGGCCCCAGTACTGTGCCCTGGAGAGAGGAGGTGCTCTGAACCGTTCTGTTCCATTTTGCTGATAGGGCGGCTATGACTCCAGTGGCCTTGGAAGCCACCTACCCAGAAGAACATGAACCCAATGGTAACACTGGTCACCTCTGACAATGTTATCATCCGTTATTTTTAAAAATCATTATTTCCTAAGGACACAAGCCAAATGCCCCAAGGGAACAGTTAAGTTGTCAATACTGAAAAAATCTCTAATCTAGCACTGGTTTTCTTGAACTTACTTTGCGCCCCTCAGCAGCACCAGGCCCTTTCCCTCCCCTTACTGGGGTAAAAGCTCATGGGAACCCTGAAGAGGTGCCACATGAGGAAGCAGGACCCATACCTGGCTGGGCTGTAGGCCCCGATGCTGCTGGCTGTCACTGGGCTTCACTGGGATTGGTTTAATGACATTGGGGTTGTCACAGATGGCAGAACTGGTTATCTGTTTTGGCTCAGAACAGGTTTTACACTGAAATGGAAAAAAACCCAAACACTTCATTTTTGGTGTCAAAGTGTTAGTGTTTTTCAAAAACCATATCTTCTTGCTTCTTATGGCTATTTTTTTGGATATGTTTTCCCACACAAAGGATAATTCCTTAAACATCTCTGGTATGAACTCCATTTGGGTATAAATTAGTTTCAAATTACGTTTTCTTACTCGCACAATTTGGTGCCCTAAAGTATCACCACAGCATCAGCCCAGATGGTCTTCGATGCTTGGATAATTAGAAGGTATATATTTGCTAAAGAAGGAGTAGTTTTAAAATCCAGTGTTCTAATGCTTTTCAATATCTGCACTGGGGTAGGCGCTGTCCTCCCTGACCTTACAGGGGACTTGCTGGAGACACTCCACCCGAACAGCTCAAGCTTTCTGGCTGACATACCAAAAGCACTCATTTAAAAACAATTCACTCACATCACCTTTGTTGAATTCCTCACCTCCTGCATAAATAGAATAATTCAGATCTGAGTGTCCTAGGCTACTCACTACAAATGAGAATGCCATAGGGAGAATTTTCATATGTGGACTCACCACTGTCACTAACCTAGTCATCCATGTGCTTGCCAAAACAGCAGGCCCAGAGCAAAGAGCATGGCAGTGATGTTGCTGTCTACTTTGTTGACACACACACACACACACACACAGCAATACAGGGCCAAGTGTGGTGACCCAACACTGGGGAGGTAGCGATCAGGGGGAATCGAGGTTCAATGCCAGCCTGGGTAAAAAGTTCTTGAGATCTTATTTCAACCAATAAAAACTGGGCATGGTGGTACACACCTGTCATCACACTTACCCAGAAAGCATAAGCAGGACCACAGTCCAGGCTGCATAAATGCAAGATCCTAGCTAAAAAAATAATCAAAGCAAAAAGGGCTGGGAGCATGGCTCAAGTGGTAGAGCACCTGCCTCAAAAGTTCAAGGTCTTGTGTTCAACCCCCCAGTACTCCAAAAAAAAAAAAAAAAAAGGCAACATAAAAACAGTACCACTTGCATCATTAGTCAAGGGGACAGTCAAGGTCTCAGCCTGGAAACACTCCCACTGCCTCTGACCTGGAACAAGCTACAAGCACAGTTTCTTCACCCAGGAACCCAAGGTTCCTGATGTGTTATTGGGGAATACTTCCCAATTTAAGTCTATAGGATGTGCACCTAGGTTTGTAAGGTCAACCATACAAATGTCTAACTAACTTCTTCCAAGAATTCTGTCAATTACCTGGCTATTTGGCACTAGTATTAAGTGGGATGTGAAGACACTTTACATCATAAAGTGTTACTTCTCATCCTTCTTAGGTGAATGGTGTGGTTTTGTGGGCCAACTGGCCAGGCCTTCCAATGACATGGATAGTCAAGACCAGGAAAGACAAGGTTACAGCCTAAGACAGCATGAAATGCCTTTAACTTCCACTTGCTTTTTAAAAGAGGCCAGGCGTGGTGGCTCACGTGTGTAATCCCAGTTACTTTGGAGTTGGAGATTGGAAGGATCATCGTTCAAGGTCAGCCCAGGCAAAAATTTAGTGAGACTCTCATCTCAGTGGAAAAAGCTGGGTGTGGTGGTACACTCCCGTAGTCCCAGGTCCAAAGCTGGCCCCAGGCAAAAACACAAGATCCTATCCAAAAACTAACTACATCAAAATAGAGCCGGGGGTGTGCCTCAAATGGAAAAGTGCTACCTAGTAAGCACAAGGTCCTACAGAAAGAAAGGAAGAAGAGAGGAAGGAATGTTTACTTTCAATAAATGACTTTTTCTGTACATTTTCTTTAACTCTTGTTATGCTTTTCTCAGATAGCTTTTTTTTTGAGGCAGGGTTGTGCTATGGAGCCCAAGCTGGCTTCTAACACTCAGCTTCCAAAGTAACAGGGTTATAGGCTGTGCTACCATGCCTGGCTGGAAACTTTTTCTGCTTAAACGGCGTCTCTAGGAGTTATTTTCTATGTCACAATTGCCTACTATGTGGAGGCCTTGCTTTGTAAATTTGATATCAAATTGCTCGATACTCTACCTCAATTTCCAGCTGCTTACTTTTTCTATGCTTCTTAGGACCCAAATAATTTTAAAATACTTGGAAAAAACCTGGTTTTTGAAAATGTGTATAACGGATTCTTCACAGTGAACCTGAAGATTTCTTTAAAACCTCAAAAACTACACCAAAGAATGTCATTTCATATGTGCACATATATACAAACATAAGCGTCTTTGGGTTGTGGGATTACAGACCATTTTCCTTTAATTAGATTGTGGATTGGTACATAATAGCTGAGGCACAACGTGGCGCTCTGATGACGTGGACACTGCAATAATCCATCAGGTAACCAGCACACCCGGCCCTCCTATGCTTACGTCCTTGTGCCGCAGAACATCAGGGTTGATTGCTCCTTCCTCACTGTGCTCATCCACGGCCTCTGCACCCTCACTCTCCCTCCCCTCCCCAGTCTGCATAACCGCTATTCTGCTTTTCATGAGTTCTACATTTTTAGATTCCACATAGGAGTTAAAATCATGCAGTATTTACCTTCTTGTGCCAGGCTTATTTCACTAAATATAATGTCCTCCAGATTCACCCATGTTGTCACAAATGACAGGATTTCACCCCTTTGATGACTGGATAGTATTCCACTGTGTCTCTCTGTGTGTGTATTCTTTGCTTTTTATACTTTTTGGAATTTTCTCTTTGAACAGTAAAAGTCTACATTTTAGGGCTGGATGAGTGGCTCAAGTGGTAGAGTGCCTGCCTACCAAGCGTGAGGCCCCAAGTTCAAACCCTGGTACTACTACACAAAAAAAAGACTGAATTTGGTAAGTCACTACTATATTCAGAAAAGAACCATTAATTCATTCAAGGCCAGCCTAGGCTAGTTGGTGAGACCCTGTCTCAAAAGGTGGGGGGACAAAGAATCTGAATAGGTATTTTTTCAAAAGAAGGCATACAGATGCTCAACAAGTATATAAAATGTGTGGCTGGAGGTGTGACTGTGGTAGATCATCCACCCAGGATGCACAAGGTCCAGGTTCTGTGCCCAGCATCACACACTCCAAATAAATAAATAAATAAATACGAAGCTCAATGTCACTAATCAGGGACAAAGCTACATGAGATGCCACTCACCCCAGTAAGAATGGCTTTTATCAAAAACAAGAGCTGCAAATGTGGGTGTGATGTGGAGAAAAGGGAACTGTGCACTCACTGTGGATGGGGTGCAAATTAGCACAACCATTATGGGAAAACAGTGTGCGGCTCCTTAAAAAGCTAAAAGTAGAACTACCATAAGCTCCAGCAATACCACTTCAGGGTACATATCCACAGAAATGAAATGAGCATTTCAAAGAGACATCTGCATTTGTGTTCAGTGCAGCAGGAGTCACAACAGCCGTGATGCGGGTCAACCAACCGTGGTGTCCACCGACAGATGAGTGGATAAAGAACACATGAGACAGACAGACACACACACATGGGGCATTGTCAGCCCTTTGAAAAATAGAAATCCATTCATTAGTGACATGGACAAACCTAGACAACATCACGTTAAGTGAAATAAGTCAGGCACGCAAAGACAATCACCACATGACCTCACTCATGTGTGGGATCTAAAAGAGTAGGACGCTTAGGAGCAGAGACAGAATGGTGGTTCTCAGAGGCTGAGGGTACTGCAGAGACATTGGACAAAGAACACACAGCTACACAGAAGGAATCAGTCCAAGAGATCTACTGCATCTCATGGTGACTAGTTAACAACAATGAACTGTACACTTGAAAACTGCACAGATTTTAAGTGTTCTCACCACAAAAAATGCCAAGTATGGAGTAAATAGATAGGTGAGTTATCTTGATTTAGTCATTCCATCATGCATACATGTACCAAAATATGTTGTACACCATAATACAATTTTTATTTTTCCATTAAAATTTTTTTAAATAGTTTAAAAGTTAAAACAAACAAAAAAGGATTCTAGAAGCACAAAGGATCTCAGAAGTCTGAGTTTGATACTTATCCAGAGGAGTGAAATTCTTCATGACAACACACTATGCAGTTATCCACTCTCTTCTTAAACCCTCCCAATCATGGAGACTCACTTCCCACAGCATTCTTGTTCCTTTCTCACCCTCTTTCCACTTCCCACCTTCCTTACACCAGGCCTACTTTACTTATGGTCTCCACATTGTCTAAAAGGTCTATGTGCAGGAGAGGGGGGGCAACAGAGATGGAAGGAAGTTTCTACAATGCAACAGAAGTTCATAGCGGCATAGACATCTAACTGAGTCTGAAATGGGCTTGAAACTCTGATCATATCTGGACCGGTGAAGAAGGGACAGAAGAGCATGAGAAAAGGCAGGGAAGCATTCAGGAAACAACACTGTTACTGTGGCAGGTGTTCCCAGATGGTGTTATGGAATGCCTGAGGATTCCAAGGACTCATAAACTAGGTAATGACAAACCAAGGATTTAGACCAGGATAGGGCAGTACTTCTAGTAAGTTACATTATGTCATGTGGCTATTAATGGAAGAAGAAATAGTTTCTTTTAATATTTATCTCACAGATCAATTGACATTATGTTTACAACATGTATTTGATTTTTATAGAAAAGCAGCATATTCAATGATTAAACATCTGCATTTCATGTCAGCATTATAAAACTTTAGGGGCATAAAGATGAACAGAACATTGTTTTAACCTCAACTAGTTTATACTATAGTGGGAGAAGCTGACTGAACTGTGTGCCAAATGAGGAAGAACAAAGTAAGTTCTACATAGAAAAAGCCTGGGGAGTCCAGCATAAAAAATAATTTGAGAAAAGAGATCTATGAAAACTTCCTGTTTAAAGAGGCCATGAAGAACATGTAGATTCTGAAGAGCCAACAAAATGAGGGGGACAATATTCAAGTGTCAAGTGATGGCCTGAATGCAATCTCCAAAGTTGTGTGTGAGTGTTCTGAGTGCAGGTTGGTCTGTTACGTGATGGTCAGGCAGGTGAGGCCAGGAGGAGACCCAGGAAGGAGGCTTTGGAAACAAAACTCACTACACTCACAGGTCCCGGAAACCAGAGTCACCACATGGGCCACACTGCAGGGAGGAGGGCAGGATCAGGAGTAGGGAGCTCAGGCCAGAGCCTTCACTGGAGTGCCTAGGGAAGGCAGGGCAGGCGGGCATGTGCAACAGTGCAGGTCCGGTGGTGTGATTAATTCTGGTGGGCTCTTAGCTGTGGGTGACACCTGGGTGCCTGATCCCCTCCCGGGGTACCAGATAGAGTAGGCATCAGCCTGGATTGGCTGGCTTACAGCTCAGAGGCTGAGCCCTTGCTGTAGAGGGAACTGGCTAGGCTGGGAGGGGGATGGGCAGTCTCTCCCCAGTCACAAAGGTTTTCAAGATGTCAAAACATAACATACAGAGATTAAAAATATCCACAGGGGCTAGGGGTGCAGCTCAGTGGTCAAACACCTGCCTAGCATATATGAGGCCCTGACCGCCTTCCTCAGCACTGTAAAAATAAATAGTTACCAACACAATGTGTGTGTGCTTAATATCTACATTTATTGTTTATTTACCACTGTTGGGCTGTCTTTATAGGACATAAGTTCCAAGAGGAGCAGAGTTGTCATCTTTTAAAGATTAACTCTAGTGTGCCTAATACAATACAATTAATAAAGTAAAATTATTTAATTATGTGACTAGCTGCCAAATGGCTACCAGTTGCCTCAACACCACCTGTTTAAAAATCCATGCAAACAGCTGATCTGAAATAGTTACCTTTATTATATCCAAAACCTCAATATGTACTAAGTCTAATTCTGGACTTCTTCTCCAGTCCCATTGTTCTACTGGCTGTTTATGTATAAATACCATCAATCTGCACTCTTTTAAATGTCTGTAATTCAATTTGTAATATCAGACAAAGCTTGCTCCATCCCTTGCCTTCTTTGCCAGGGGTTTCCTAGCTATTTCTTGTATATTTCTCCACATGAACCTTAAAAACCACTTGTCAGGCTCCACAGAAAGAAGGAAAAGAAAAACTAATAGTATTTGTTGAAGGATTGCCTCAAATTTAGAGATCTAAGAACTGAGAGCTTTATGCTCGGTTTTCTTATCCAAGAATATGGCAAACACGTCCACTTGTTCAAGTCTATTTTTATGCTTATTTATTTATTCATTTTTTTGGAGACAGGGTCTTGCTGGCCTAGAACTCTTAATCCTCCTTCCAGGTGTTGGAACTGCAGGTGTGCACCACAATCTCCTGGCTTGTGAATTTTATTACAAAAGGTTTTATGAAATCTGTCACTATTATAAATAGGGTCTTTCTCTTCTAGTCAATCTTCCAAGTAGCCATAGTTAGTTTATATGAAGGCTATTGATTTCCCACACTACCTCTTGATGTACTTCAAAATAAACAGTCTTCTTTAGCCTATGAAAAGCAAATGAAGATTTTATTTTTCATACAATTTTGCTTGGAATGGCCCTAATCTTTCTCAGTGACAATATTCCCCCGGTGGAATTTAAGTATGCTTCATGAGAAAGAGCAAACGCACCTTTGTGTACTCATCTTTGGCCTTCGTGAGCATTCGTAGGATGTCTACTTCTTTGCCCTCTCTTGAATTGAGGATCATAGGGGAGATTCCAGCTCCAGCTTCTTGATGGGCTTTCAACTGTTCAGACTGAGTTAGGCTAGGAAAACAAAGGGGAAGGTTCCCGCAGAAAAATCTCCTTAACACAAATGGTTTCTTTGTTTTATTTTTGCCTTATCATACGTTAATAATACAAGGGGATTTCACTGTGGAAATTCTGTGAGTGAGTACAATGTATCTTGAACAGGTTCGTCCCTTCCATTATATTCCCATTCTCCCTTTCTATTCCCTCATCCCCTTTCAAGCGGTGCTTGTTGGGCTTCACTACTTATGAATATGGGCAGCGCACTTCCATCCCCTCTACCCCTTAGTTCTGTTCCTTTCCCCTCCTTCTTACTGATCCCCCCAGGCAGTCCCCCACACACATCCATGTCCCATTATTATTATATTATCATGATGGAAAATGGGTGGAACTGGAGTTCACCATGCTCAGCGAAATAAGCCAAGCTCAAAAAGGCCACATATCACATGTTGTCACTTGGTTGTGGAACCTGGACACAAATGGTCTCTAAAACCATAGCAGTTTTTACTCAGCCAGTTTCAACTGTTACAACCATATTAAAAATAAGACTGCTTAGACATTTAAGGAAGAAAAATGACAGCTGAGGTCTTGAGTCCACTGACCATGAATGTAAGTCTAGAGTAGGGGTCAGTAAGCTGTGACCAGCAGGCCAAATCCTGTACCACCTGTTTCTGCAAAGAGAATTACACAGCATGCGTTGCCTACTGCTTCTCTCACACTACAGTAGCAGATGCCAGCATGACCCTAAAACACTCACTCTCTCGACTCCTTAGATGAAAACATGCCAACTCCTCGCTTAGAGCTCCTGAGAGGACATGCTCACTGATGGCCAAGTAAGCCCTGTTTAGAATTCTCAGGCACAGGGGCCCTCACCTGTAATCCCAGCTACAGGCTGATTGGGAGGAGCTCTGATGGAAGCCAGCCTCAGCATAAATGCCAGACCCTATAGGAAAAATAACTAAAGCAAAAAGGGCTGGAGGAGTGGTTCAACTAGTAAGCAAGTGTAAGGCCCTGAGTTCTAACCCCCATACGGCCAAAAGAGAAAGAAAGAAAATCTTGAGCACTGACAAAAAGTACTCATCCCTGAGTACCTTGCAGTCAAAGCAAGGTTGATGGTAGCAACTAGTTCTTTGTCAGTGAAGATTCTAGCTTCATTCTGAGAAGAAACGCCATTTAAAAAGTCACTTAGAAGCTGGTGGTTTAAAAACACATTTAAAAAGTCTCTTAGAAGCTCACACCTATAATCCCAGCTACTTGGGAGGCAGAGATGGGGAGGATTACAACCTGAGGCCAGCCTGGGCATAAATATGAGACTCTATCTGACAAACTAACTAAAGCCAAAAGGGCTGGGGTATGGCTCAAGTGATAGAGCTCCTGCCTAGCAAGTGTGTTCAAACACCAGTTCTGCCAAAAAATTAAAGAAATAGAGCTCCTGCCTAGCAAGTGTGTTCAAACACCAGTTCTGCCAAAAAATTAAAGAAAGAAATACCCGCTTAGAGCTATTGAATGAGGACTGTCTTTTCTTGCTTTGAAAACAACATGCAGCAAGGCAACACTGAGAAAAATACCTTTGCCCTGTGTGTCTCGACTTTCAGCACAAATTCTTCCATTATTGCCATGAAGTGTGTCATGAAAAGGACCTGAGAATTTCCTGGGGCATTGACCCTAACTGGGGAAGGGATCTGAATCCACACAGATGGGCTGCTCATTGCTAGTAAATCACATCCCTATAGAGGCTGACAGCCTTCCACGGCCTCTCGGCTGAGCCTCTTGGCTGAGCCCTGGGTATTTTTAATCTATATGCAATCCTGCTATTATTATCATTGCACGATTTACAATGGCATGAATGATGTAGGAACTAGTTGTTGCAGTGGTAAATACCAGTTTAAACAACTTAATCACCATCTGCAACTTGAGCTACTTACTGAAATTAACTTTCACAAGCCAGACTTCCAGGAATCAATTTTATTTATAAAAACATGCTCCCTATTTTTCATTTCTCTGGGGTCATTTTTTAGTCATTTTACTGGATTAAAAGTGGAACATGGTTCCTTTGCAGACAGAGCTGCAGTGTCACACCCGTGCAGGCAGCAGCCATCCCGTATGTTTGGCTGAGACCAACATGAGTAGGAACCTCACTTCAATCTGAGGCTTGAACTCATCCCTGTAAATAGCATAAATGAGCAGTTCCGTGTTTCAAAACTAATCAGAGTCTAGTAATCTTGCTTGGGCCCTCGTTCCAATGTAGTCAGGGAAGCCAAGAGTGGGAAAGGCAGGCAGTAATACAACTTTCCCAGAATGCAGAATGGGATAAATCACAAAGTATTGTGAGATTAAAAGAAAGAGACTAGAAACAAGAAGAGACTGTCTCCTGACCACTAAGCTAACATGAATCAGAAATTTCCAGACATGGAAAACAAATGCTCTCCTAAGCACAGGGAATCTGAGACGTGAGCTGCGGGGTGGGGATGGGGGGACTTGAAGGGGCAGAAGGGTGGGGGGGATTCTGAACCCCTCAAACACTGGCTCACACTTACAGGAAAGTGTTGAGGACATGGAGGAAATGAAGGTCTTTGAAAACCTGGAGCAGTCTTTCAGGATGGCTCCGGATGTTCTTTTTACTGATAGACACACTGATAGCTTTTCAAAGCAAAAGAGCTGCTAATTCACAAATGAGGAAAATACTAAGGAAAACTGCCATCTGGAGCCACTCATAGTGCACGTGTCACTCTCGATGACAGCTCCAGTGAAAATACGGAAAGCCATTTCTTACGTCTATTCTCATTTTTTAAGTAGTATGAGGTGTTTTCCTGACCATGGTCAAAGGGATTGCTAGGAGGTAGATCCTGTCAGGATTACTGGATAGTAGTCATATACCCTTAGAAATACAAACAAAAATACCAGGTCCTGAAAAACATTTAGCCTTTAGCACTTACTTTTTCATAAGTTCTGCAATTCTCTGGCATTCTTCCTTATCATAAAACCAAATTCCATAAATGGACACTGCAAAAAAACACATCAGTCAAATCATGAGAATCTTCAAACCACAAAACAGAAATTCTTTTTTTCTATTTTAGAGAAAAACATAACTTATGTATTGAATTAATTTATTCAATAACAATTAAATAAATGAAACCAGTCATTGAAGTTAAAGCATAAAAATCTAGCATTGCAATCTTTTAAGTCTGTAGAGAAATCTGCAGTGGTTTTGTCCAATCTCTCTCTCTCTCTCTCTCTCTTTCTTTCTCTCTCTCTCTCTCTCTCTCACACACACACACACACACACACACAGCCAATAAAGTGGGTCTGCCTTAAAAAGGCAGCACCTGAATTCAATGGATATTAGGTAAATGCTTCTTAAACAAGTAGTACAGATTGAAAATTAAAAAATCAGGACTTCTAAACTTCCTGGCCTCGAGACATCATTGTTTCCATACTCTGCACATTTCACAAACACATTTCATCTTTATTTTTAAATATTCAGAAATCTGATGCTCAAATTATGCCTAGTAACTTCCCTCCCTTTCTCCTCCCAACATCTCCTCCCAAAAATATGTCAACTGAAAATTTGACTTTGTGAGCTCTTAGGATAGAGTACTGGAAAAAATAAATTTGAATAATAAATCTGATTTCAAAATGTCTGTACAGAGAATTTACAAATGTTGAAAGATTAGATATTACTATGATTTAATCATTTAGTAATGAAAGAAGATGTGCTATAATACAGCTGCTATTGACTCATCTAATAAGTTTGCAAATAAGTTGCATACTAAATTTAGTATGAGCCAAGCTCCACCATCTTTGTAGCAAAGGCTGAAACAGTTGCAGAGAACATTTATCACTTCTAGTGCAGGTCTGGTGGTATTAGTCGTAAACAATGCATTAACTGCGTACACATTTTTAAAACTTCATTGAAGACAGCAGCCATGTAACGACAGAGCAATAAAAACAACAAAATACATTTTAAAGGAAGATACTTAATGATTTTCATATTATTTGTCATGAAGAAAGCTGGGCTGAGCATACCTTTTTTTCCACTGGCCAATGCCCAGGCATGAAGCAGCTTCTGCTTCTTGATGGTAACGATTCAGGTATCAGAAGGTCCAAGTAGTATCTTTTTAGTGCTAGTTTAAGCAGATATCGCAAAGGGGAACCTTATGAATCTGAATTACTACCTTGCTGGAAGTTGGCAGTGGAGTTTAAACTTTGTTTTTGTAATTGCCAGTGTATGAGGAATCTTTCTCTTTCCAACCTATATGTGAAGGGGGGGTAAAATGGGGAAAAAAAACCTCCCAGCCTTTTCTTGCACCATGGTAGAAATACTTAGACATATTCCCCTTGGTAACTGACAATCTTTAAGAAAAATAAGAACACGTGAATTCTAAAGTTGATGTGCTATGAGAGCTTTTATATCAAAACAAAATTCTTTCATCTCAAGATCATTAAATGTGTATTTTGAAACTTCAAATTCAGGGCAGATTCCTAAACATCAACCTTCTTACCCTCCTGTTCTTATGAATAAAAGTGGATTGGATCACTAACGTTCAGCTACTTAATAAATCTCATGTGGATTTAATCTCAGTTACAATACCAGAAACCTACTTTTTTTTTTTTGGCTACAGTGAAAACTTTCTTTTCCTTGCAGACTGAGGAAAGTTTCAAAGGAGAAAAGTGGCAGCAAGGGAGAAGGCAGACACTCTAGGTCCAGTGGCAGAGGAAAAGCCCGAAATTGGTATGTCATTAGCAGACTGAATTAACAGTAATGTTTTGGGTGTCAAGCTTCATGTTAGACAGCTGCGACACCTGACACAGGGAACTAGATCTCCATGAGGGAAGGATGCCAAGGAAACTGTTGATACCAACAGAAGAGCTGTCTGACATTGTCATTACCAGGAAACAATGGAAATGCAGATTTATGGAGAAAAATGCTAGGAAAAGCTTCCAAATGCCAAAGCAGAATGAAGGAAAGACTTGGTGTGTCATAATTATTTAGGATATCATGGATTTATCTCTAAAGCACCATGGTTTTAAAATTAAAATGGGATCATTTTGAAATAAGTCTTTCCATCCAGTTACTATCAGTTTGAACATAAAAGTTTAGCTGGGAGGTGAGGTAAAAATAGTCCTGGCTACTAAAAGGCAGCACCAAGATAAAACCCAGAACTGGGTCTAACTTTTCTTCTCCCTAAAATAGTTCTGCAACTTGAGCTGCATTCCACGGGGAAAGAGGCCGTGGATTCTCTGAAAGTGCACATTCCAGTTGAAGTTTTCTGCCTCGTAGGCCCAAGGTCTCCGACCCAGACAAACATATCACTCTTCCACACAAGAGGGCATATCAGAGTGGCTCGTGGTGATGTATAAAGACCAGAGCTCACAATGCCTTCGGAAGGTGATGAGCTGACAGGCTGACAGAAGCCATTAACTGCACATTTCAATCCAAGCTCTCCTGCAAAGCCACTAGAGGAGAGGCAGGTCCCTACACCAGCTGTGAGCACAGCAGGAAAGGCCAAGAAAGACAAGGCTGTGTTTCAGAATTCTAAAACTTAACCCAAATTTGCAGCCAGCCAGCCAAGTAACAGGGCTATGAAATGCTGCTACAGGAAGTGTTGCTGAATTTCAAAAAATTACCAGGAGTAATGATCACGAGCAGGATATTTGCTTAGTTTTAAAGCAAACATTTTAGGGACAATGTTTCGAGCCTTTGTTCAGCCCACGACACCTGCATACCAGCCACTCTCCAGTCACCTGTCTGCTGAAACAGAGGTGAAGTTCCAGGGAACGATGGTGCATGAAGCCCAACTCAACCGTTTCTACATCTCTCCGGGAGGTAAGACGGCCCAAAGTGGAGCAAAGAATAGGAAGACCATGTGAAATTTGCTCTGGAGTGTTTAGTGACACCTAGAATGCTCCCTCCCCAAAGACTCATCTGTTTGGCAATATTCTTTATGTTTAATCAGAACTTCTAGCAGCACAGTCGTGGGATTTTCCCTAAAGTCGCATTGTCCTGGACACCATTCTTTGAAAATTCTCGATTAGAAAAGGTGATGTTGAGGCAACGGCCAGGCAACCCTGTGCTTACACAGGAAACACCTGTCTTCCACTTTGCTTAATTCTCTGAGAAAGATGTGGGATGTCAAGACTTCCATATTCAATTCCATGTCTGGGTTTTGTGGGTATATCCAGACAAGACAGACAGCAAGCTAACCATATTCAATGATGGCATATTCTTTTCTTAATTTCATTAGTGGAAAAATTGAAAGTTGATCAAATTTTAAAGGGCCAATTAAGCAGTCATTTCTACCAATATCAAAAGTCACTTAAATGCACATTTTCATCTGGAACCCTTTGCTTCTTATTAGCAGAGTGCAGTAGTTCGTTTTGGGTGTTCCTTGGAGGTATAGCCCATCCTGTCTATGTTCCTAATAAATCTTTCTATTCAGTCTGTTCTTTTATTAAGATCCATCATTTGTTCTATATTTTGTTCCAAATACCCTTCAACTCCAAACCATGACTAGTAGATTGTAATCATTTTATAAGGATGCAGGCTAATGTTTATACAACATTTAAAAAGGAGGCACGTATCCATACAGTTAGTAACTATAGAAACACAGCAATACATGGGTAAACTTTCGTTTGCTTGCTTGTTCTTTCTCTTCTTCCTCTCTCCCTTCCTTCCCTCACTTCCTCTTCCCCCCTCCCTCCTTTTTTCCTTCCTCCCTGCCCTCCCTCCCCTTCTGTCCTTCCTTTCCTTTCCTTCTCATCCTTTGTGACAAAAGGATAGGGAAATGTATTTTTCCTGGAAAGCTATCAGGTCCTCTCTTTTTACTGGGAAAGCTATGGAAACATGGCAGTAATAAGTTACAGAACTCTCTTCTGGGCATTTGAGGATAAATCGAAATTCCTTCCAACCCCATTCCTTTCATGAAGTTTTTCTCAGATGAGTGGAGCAATAATCTCAATGTAAGGAAGAAGTACATCTAATTGTGTATTTGGTGGAAAGCCTTGTTTTTGAGACTTTGTTCAAATCTAGCATTTATAGTACCATTTACCTAGTTCAAGCTTTTGTAAGTTTGACCACAATAAGGAAGACTCCTTGCTGGTACCTGGTGGTGAGCATGCACCACAGTGTCTACCTTCAGAAAGACCACAAGATACTTTAAAAAATTAGAACAATGGAACCATTAAAGTTTAGAGCCAGAAGCCACCTAGAACTGTACAGTTTAGTAATAAGGTCTCTTGATCTAACAAGGCCCAGTGAGTTGACCAAAGTCATTGTTCCTAGTTCAATCTGTTTTCTCTAAAATATGCCCCTCCCCCAGCCTTCCAAACAAAATACATAGAGTATTCAAATTTTCTTTTCATGCTTGGTTGACTTCTAGGCTTGGTTATAAAAGACTGGAATTAGTCCTAAAACCAAGGTTACGGTGGACTCTCAGAGGCAAAAAGGGAAGGATGGAAGAAAGGAAATGAGTAAGGAAGGAAGCATGGGGGAGGAAGAGGAAGGAGAGGAAGGGAATGAGGATGTCTGAGAGTGGTAGTGTCTGTCCTGGCATCCATAGATGGGAACCAGGCTATGCTGCTGGCTCTATGCTGATACCACACTTCTACCCCATTTGGAATGTCTGCACCAAACACACTTTGCCTTGGCGTGTTCTTTCATGCCTTTAAAGTAATGTTCTTCCATTCACCTTCTGTGCTGGTTTTACTGACCAAACACGGACACATCTTGTAAAACAAAATCTTCTCTGGCCTTGGAGAGTCTACATAGCACTGTTATCTTTGGGCCCTGCTCTGGTTCTTTTCATATGACATGGTTTTACTGCACCTCACAAATCAGCAGTCCCATGCTCTCAGGAAGCTGGAAGGTTCACAGCAGAAGAGAAGCAGTTTCTATTTAATGGACAACTTATATGCATGGGCGCTTTGGGGAAAACAGTAGAAAAGCTGACCGATGAAAACAACCTTCCCCTTTCTAAACAACTTAACTTCATTGGAAAGTTGAAACCATTATACAGGAGGATCTGGAGTTTGAGGCCGGCCAGGAGTACTTAACGAATTCCAGGCCACCTGAGTTACAGAATGAGATTCAGTTTCAAAAAAACCAAAATAAAATAAAATAGAAATTTAATGTCATTAAAAACAAACAGATAAACAAAAACTTTGTAGCTAAAGCATTTTGCTAATGTGAATTAAATTACTATTACTCTCCAACTATAAATGAGAATTTATTACCTCTAAAGTAAACAATATATCTATCTTTTAGAAAGTTTTCACTTATAACAATTGTGAGATATGTCACTAGACCTTCCTAATCTCCACAGAGGTCATTACCCTTCCCAACTGGGAATTCTGATATCTGTTATTGCCATCAGGGTCACAAAAGGTCAGATGGAATCTTCACTATGCACTAACTTCCTCATTTTATTCCTTTCAGGAAAAAGCTCCTTTACACTAAGAAATTTAACAGAGTAAAAGAAACAGGAAAAATGTACAGCTAACAGTACATAGAAATATGAACAACTTATTCTTTTTTGGCCACTTAAATTTCTATTTTAATTTTGCTCATAATCTTGCTGATTATTTATTGCTGATTATTATTAATTTCAAAACGTGCTAGGCTATAAATACTAAGCGGGTGTTCCCTAAAACACGTTCCCCCTTCTCTGAGCATTACTCATCCATGAAGACCCAGTTTTTCTTACTCTTCTTGGGATAAACTCCCAACTTTTTCTTTGCTTTCATATAGTCTTTTTGTATATCCTTGTGTTTAAAAAGGCAGTAATTAAGTATTTATATATTTGTTCTCTCCATTATGGTACAAGCCCCTGGAGGGGAAGGCTTTGTTAATACACCCAGCACAGCAACCGGCATGTGGAAGGTGGTCAACGAATATTTGCAGAGTAAATCTGCAATCTAACACCTCAAGCT